GACTTTAACATATGCTAATTAGCCAAAACAAATTAAGTTCGAAATTTGCTAAGCTCACTCAAAGTTACCCAACAATGCCTACAGACTTAAAATTACTTCCACTACAGAAAAGCACCACATAAATTTGAAAATTCATGGAATTCAACCAATAACAAACTAAACAAGTAAAGAAATAAAGAAATGTAGATTAAGAAGGTGTACCAGTTCCTCGCAGAGCAGCTTCAAGGGTTGCCGCAAACGAGCATGGTCAGGAAAATCAGCAAACTTGTAGAAGGAGACCACCACGAGAATTTGAGAATCCGAGTTATTCGATTCTGGTGAGCTCGAAATGGGGACGGGACTGGTTTGGCCAGAGAAGCACCTAGAGAGCGTCATGCTTTGAGGGACGCCGTGAGAATCACAGAGTGAAATCCTGACGGGGTTAAAGAATAGTTGAGGATGGCGATTAGACGGTTCGGAAATTGACGAGGTGGGGTGCAATCTAGGGTTAGGGTTTATGGAGCGCAGTGAAGGTGACGATAGCATCCTCAGTGACAGTGATGGAGGTGCTCTATACCCTAGCATATAGAGAATACTGCTGGAGGCTTCTGTATCTGGACTCGATGGCTGAATTTACAATTATGTCCGTGATAATATGAGCGGGACCACGTGGCTGGTGGAGATTGCGTTAGCTGCGTGGCTTTATTCAATCATGGCGTCGTATATTTATAGCGGGAAAAGACAAAATAGTCTGACGTCAATTCGCGAATCTGGAAAATAGGTAACGTAGATTCTGCCCTGATTCGCTCCTACATCCAACGATCCCAAAGCCATCTGCTACATCCAACGATCCAAATCGCATCTGCAGAGCCACCATTAACTGGTTAAATATACTCTCTCTGGTTGCGTTGCGTATGTTAAACCTTGGTATTACGCTTCATCAAACTTGCGATGCGTATGATCAGCAAAATGAAGACATCAGTAATAATGTGTGCAAATTCTCTTTGCTATTTTTTTCCCTCATATTAATTAACATGATGTGTACATATCATTAATGAAAATTTTAACGAGTCAAGATATATTCAGCGTTACTATCAATTAATGTGAAAATAGAACTCGTTTCTGGAATTCAACAACAATCTTGAAGATAAAAATGTCAGATAGCTAAAATGTGTCACATCAACACCTTGATTTTTTTCAAGAATGACTTTTATTTCTCAAGTATAAAACATTCCTTCAAATTAAGGACTACAACACTGAATCGTGGTAGGCAGTCTCTTTATCTATTTGTAGATTATGACTCTAAGATTCTAAGATAACTTAATTATTTGATAATACTTACCTTTATGAGAACTCTAACGACTCCTATAATGCTTTCTATATATATATATATATATGAGTACGACATAAGTACGCCAGTAATTTAAAGATATTTCAATACCATATATAATTATTCCATCTTGAGTATCTTAGAATAAATTTATGTATATTTGCGAAAGTAAGTTAGTTTGTAATTAAATAATAACGGTTGTGCAATGATAAATGGGAAAACAAGCCAATTAGACTTAGAGATGAAGGGCTGGCGGCAGTTGCATAATAATGTACTTTTCAAAAGGGTAAAGGGCTACACGTTGACAGCGATGAACCCTAACAATACGGTTTGGTTGCATTATTTCTATAGGGAAATCTGGCCACATCCTTGTTCCATGAAAACTATATGTGTTGTGTAACGTTTAATTTGCTTTAATATTCAGATGAAAAAGTCCAACGCATTGGCCAATTGAAAGATTCCAACTAGAAAGCAATGTTTAGGATGAGTTGCAACTTGCAAGTGATGCTACATAAATTCCAATGCAACTTGTTGTAGTTAATGCTTCTAGATTGTGTTTTTTTTTTTCTGCCTCTCTTGTTTTTATTCTCTTTCTAATGTATGTAATTTCAAAATTATCTTCACAATATTAATTATATTATATCTTTTTTTTTAATATAAGGAATAGTATAAATTACAAGGGAGAAAGAGTTTTTCTCACACACATTACTAAGGTGTCATGGGGGTTCAAATTTGAGACCACTAGTCTGCAAGTCAATGCCCTTTTTCAATAGGCTAGATCTCATTGGCATACTATGTACTTTTTTTAGTACAAGCAATAGTCTAAACCACAAGAGAAGGGGATTTCTTTCTCACACACACAACTATGATGTCGGTGGAATTCGAACTTGAGATCTCCTGCAAGTTAAGACCTTTTTCCATTAGGTTAGACTTCATTTACGTATACAATGTACTTGAAAAAGCATAAGCATGGCTCTTTAGCTTTAAAAATTATGGTTAGAAATTTTCAAATGCTATGATTAGGGTTTAGTGTCATATTAATTAGGATAACTTATTATAAGAAAAGTATAGCTAGCTAGTCAGTGGATATACATTGAATAATTAATCACACTTTATTGTACCAAACAGTATTTTTGAAAGATAGTAAAATAGTAGCAAGGACATCCTGCCAGATGGCTTGAAAATGAAAGCTCAAGCTGTCAGCTTTACATCACTACCATGACGTCAGCTCAGCCAATGTAAGCATTTCATAGAATTTTCTCTTTTACTTTTAAATTATATGGCTTTCAGCTCCTTCCTTTCATCTTCCACTGAATTGCTTCCCTCTTTCCTTTTCTCATATAATAAAAGCCATATCCCCTCCTTCTCTCATCCCATCCAGACACACCCATTTCAGATTTTCATTTTTCACACAAAAACACAGACACCAGCAAAAAAAAAAAAAAAAGAAGAACAGAGCAAAAAAACAGAGCAGCCTAATTAAAAAACCAAATGGGAAGCAACCATAAGAGACTGATCAAGGAGCTAGTTGAAGGGAAGAAGACGGCGACTGAGCTTCAGATGCTGCTTCAGAAGCCCTTTGGAGATCATGGGTCAGCCTCAGCTGAGGAGCTTGTGGTGAAGATCATGACAAGTTTTACAGAGAGTCTCTTTGTTTTGGCTGCTGAGAAGAAGAACCCAGGTGATGGCCATGAAGATCACCAGTCTGGTGCTTTTGGTGAGGTTTATCAGATCAAACCGGAACCTTCCCATTCACATTGTGACGACCGGAGCTCTGGAGATTCCGGCGAGAGTAGGAAAGGGCAGGGTTCCAAGGATCGGAGAGGTTGCTACAAGAGAAGGTACTGATTTGAATGATCTCTCATATCTGAATAATTGTTTGCCAGTTTCTTTGTTCGTCTTCTTCTTCTGGTTTTGTTTTTTGGGTTATATTGTCGTATTACTAAAAGATTTGCAAATCTCTTGCCTTTTGGGCTAAGGAGGATATGTGATATGACAAGGAGTTGGACATTTATGCCTAGTTTTCTAGCATATTTGTTGAGCCTTTATCTTTGGGACTTTCTTTTATAGCAAATCTCAATTTTCTTAACACAGTTAATTAGGTGTTTCACTGTTTTTGCTTCTGTGGTTTGACATGACTGTTTCATCTTCTTCGTTGCAGAAAGACTTCCCAATCATGGACAACAGTCTCTCCTGCAATTGAAGATGGCCGGGCTTGGAGAAAATATGGCCAAAAGGAAATCCTCAATGCTCCATATCCAAGGTTAGGTTTTACTTTTCTTTTTAACTCTAAAAAATAAATAAATTCCCTTTTGGCCTATGCATCATCTCACTGTTAAAAATATAAGTTACCCCACCCCTTACACCCAAATTAAAATTCCCTTCCTAGTAGACAAAGATTGTAACAATCCGGTTTAGGGCAGGGTAAGACAATACCATCCCCAGCTCCGCCCCCATCCCCATAAGAATGGTAGGAGAATCCTCATCCTAGTTCCCATCCCCGATCCGTCCCGTCGAGATACTTGTCTAAATCTACGGATTAGATTAAGTTAGAGTATATTATCGCCCTTATAAAAGAATAAGGGAATCCGAAACTGCAGACGAAAGGAAGGGAATTGTAACAACCAAAGTTGGGTTCCCATTTCAGTCCAAAGAAAAAAAGTTGGGTTCACATTTCACTTTTGGTGCGATGACGTACACATAAAGTTTATCTTCTATTTTCCAAATACCTTAAGCCACATGAAGTTAAAATAGCAGGCCCCAGCAATTATTGCAGCAGTGCTTATTGAAGGCCATTAAAGAAACAGAGGAGCAAAACATGCATAGACCTTTATCAATAAAGAACTTTACAAAATTCCATACCTAACAGAAAACAAAAACTGAATTCTATTTATGCTTATTGATTCTGGGTTGGGATTTTTTCTTTGTTCTTTTTCTCTTGGTAATTACCACAGAAAGCCTAACATATTTATCTCATTGACTATGGTTGACAGAGCTTACTTCAGATGCACACGCAAGTATGATCAGCTCTGCAGAGCAACCAAACAAGTCCAGCAAGTCCAAGAGAACCCTCGCCTGTACCAAACCACATACATTGGCCAGCACACATGCAAAAGCGTGGTCCTTCCACAGATGATCATAGGCTCCTCAGATCCTTGGGAATCTCAGACTGTGAGCTCAGAATCCGGGACCCCAAACAAGCAAAACCATGATCTCCTTGGTTCATCAGCAATTCCCGTTGTAAAACAGGAAGAATACAAGGAAGGGACACCAACACCAAGTGACCTAACAGACAACCTTTCCTCATTGGAGACTAATAATCTGTGGTCTGATTTCAAGGATGATTTTCCTTTGTGTGACCCTACAGCAATGTGTGTGTCTACCAAGATGGCGTCTGATAACGAGGATGTGGTGTCAAACATGTACTTGGACATGGATTTCGTGGTCAAGTCTATCGATTTCGATGGCGATTTTAATTTTGATGAAGTTGAATTTCCTAAGAACTCCTTGTAATAATAGGGTTGTTGATGCTAAGCTCTTTCTTGTAACTTGCTAGATTGATGTCACTTAAGACATGTTCTCACATCATTTGTCAATTCTCAGTAGCATTCAATAATGATGTTTATAATCAGTTTTGAGTTAGGAAACTTGTGTTTCTCCACAGTACACATAACATAAATGGCCACGGGATACAAAATCAAAAGTTTATAATGAATTTACATTATAAATTGTCTAATTGAGAAGTTCTCAAAGTAAAGAATGTATCATCAGATTGATTTCCTCCATATACCTGCTACACTAGGACTATGAAATACAAATTTAAATCCACATAAAATTGCCAGTGAACACATCTCAATGCATTACATGGTGAAATTGAACACCTTGTTACAAACACCTGTGAAACTTTAATTAATGAACTTTCCTAGAAGTTTAGGTTGACTAACTCTGATGAATTGGTTGATTAATTAGCTCCTGTAGTCCCATTGACTAAAGAACATTACAAGGAAAATTTGGCCAGCTGCCGGCCGAAAGTACTAGCATATCCTGCTACTGGCCTCAGTTTTTCTTGTCCTCTGACTCCCATTTGTTTTCAGCAGAAGTGAAAATAAAATCCATACTATTGGTGCTGCTGCTGCCTGAATTGAACATTGCATCAGCCAAATCCACCACAGGAAAGTCAACTTCTTTACCGTAGCGCGTGGTGGTGGATGTCCCTACACCATCACCACTGCCTCCACCACCGCCGCCACGGCTGCTGCCTATCATCCCACTGCTGCTGCCGCCGCCTCCTCTAATTGGGTTGAAGTCCATGGAAAGCCATAGAGATGCTGTAGGAGGGTCAGTGGTTGTGGTAGTTGCTAGGGTTCGGGCCATACTCTCTTGTGTAGCATTATGATGTTCTGCTGATGGTGGTGGAATTGAAGGTGCAGTGGCTGACATGTGACATGTATGTTCACCTCTGTACATGACTTCAAATGTTAAGGGATCATTGTCAAGCCTCTGGACTTGCTTCTTGGCTGGGCAATTGTAGAGCTTTTGGTGGGTGCACCTATAGTAACCCCTGAAAGAGATGTGTGGTTAATTATTTAATTAATTCATGGTGGTTAAGTATGACCCAACATTTAAATTTAGAGAATATATATATATATATATGGCTAGTTGAATGGAACATTCTCAAGTCAATGCTCCACTCTGGACAGAGGTCTGCGCATTTACTAAGGAGCTGATTGATCAATGGAATTCAAACCCCTTTGCCAAGTTCCAGTCAAAACTAATTGAACGCTTACCAAGTCAATTTTGGTCAACCCCATGAATATTTCATTCCACTATCATAAACAAAGGTAAAAGCTAGCTAGCATGAAAAAAAAAAAGAAACACTAATTAATTATACCAACTTGAATCAAAGAGCTCCAATCTCTGATAATCACTCACTCAAGCTGGCATATATATAAGCTGGTATATCTTTGAATTGAATGTGTCAAATAAGCTGTAACCTTTATCTATTTGAATATCATCCTTTTGTTTAGACAAACAATATCGGTGGAGGGGAAATCAAATACAAAACTTCGGGTGAAGTTCCTTGCATCGATATGAAAAGAAAAAAAATTAATTACCTTGGGAACCTGGAGCCCATGATCTCCTTCTGACCATATTTTCTCCAAGTGAAGCCATCCTCTGGTGGGATTTCAGTATTTCCAATCCGAGGTGCTGGAACTGTTATTTTGCTGATTAACCCCTGATCCTTCCTATTTAATTAATTACATGAACACAAAACTGTTAGCCCCAACAGTCCACAAAGACAATATGTGAACTTGCTTACCAATTATAACAAAGCTTTTCTTGTGCTTATAAAACATCAGACATTTGCATGCTTCCAAAACAGTTAGAAAAATGTATTTGGTTCACACAGTAAAAAAGACAGAAATAGTGCTTTTATATAGGGGTCTTTTTCTAAGAAACAGCTTGGTAATGCTCTTCTGCTTTCTGCACATTTTCCTCAATTCTTCTTCGCAACTTACTAAGGTTGTTTCAAATGACAAAAGCAATAATTCAAGACAATAATTCAAGACATTGTTTTTAATTGCATGTGCAAACTAAGATCAAATAGAAAATTTACATAATCACAGTTACCTTCTTCTTGGTCTTTGTGAGGATGATGAAGCAACGTTCATGTCAGAAGCTTCCATTGCCTGAAGGCCCTTAACCTCTGCATCATCGTCGTCGATGCAGCCGCCAATCTTAGCTTCCTTCTGATCAACTACAAGTTGGGTTTGGATAATGTCCATTGCTTGTTGTGCATAATTAGACCTCAGCCATTCTTGTACATGACTTGTACCAATCTGCTGCTGGTGCGCAAAAGTAAGCATGTTGTGCAGACATGAAGAAGTACTTGGATCTTGACCATACACTCTCTCTCTGGCTGTAACAAAATTCTTTGTGATCTCATCCAAGGAGTTTGAGAGCAAGTTGGGCTGGTTGGCCAAGTTGGGTAGGTTTGATTCAAGGTCTCTGGCTAACTTACAAGCTTGAAGGATCAAAGAAATGGTGGTTTCATCCATGTCTTCTAGCTGCTGTTTTGGTTCTTTTTGGCTTGTCTTCGATTTGAACATGTTATGGTGGTAAGGAAATTTAAAAGGGAGCTGAATATAAGCTTTTGTGAGGCTTCTGTGTTGGTGCACCATTAAAAAGAAAAGGAAATAATTCAATGGTATTTGTGTTTCTTTTACACGGTACAAAAATATTTGGGAAAGTATGCATCTATGACTTGGTCTTGGTCAGATGGTCTCTATTTGGGAATTCAAACCATTCTGTTTAGAAGAAGACCTTGCTTCATTGAAACCAATTTTGTTGGACCCCTTTTCAGATTTTTCTGAGGTTTGAAGTTATTAACTTATTGCTAGAGTATTGAGGAAATTAATTACATGTTCTAGGTTGTATTGAAAGAAAATGTTACTCAACTAGTTGCTATGGTAATTTGTGTTTGAAACCCTTGCCCCGACGTTGAAGCTACCTCCTGACCAATGGTCGCCCATTATTCACTTTAATGGAAACTGGACAGTCTCATAGCCCAATCAGCGCAGTCAAGATTCCATGGGTCCCATCCGTCGTTTCCATGAAAATATGTAAGATGAAGAGTCCGAATTTTTTCTGTAACGGTTGCATCGTTATATGGTGTTATCGATTTATTTATGTTATGACAAGTGTATGAATAAATTTATAAATTCTATATCATTAGGTTTATGACATATCAATTATGTCGCTCACTCATATAATAACACATGAGTTAATAACATTACATGACAATCAAATCGTGACACGCAAATATTTTGCGATAAAGAAAAACTTTACATGTGTTCACACCTAAAAATGTACCTCAAACACACCCAAGATTGTTAAGTACAAAAAATAAAGGCTTCAACACAAGTCCCCTTGCATATTATAACATAATAGAGTATGAATCTTTAAAGCAATCTCATTTTCTTCTCAACTTCACCCTCACCCAATTTTGGTGTGATCAAACCTGACCACCATGCAATTACCTCTCTTTATCAAACATCTACCCAGAACCAAACCCTAAAAACCTTCAAGTAGCAAGTCCTGCTGCTGCATTTGACCGAAAAAAGAAAAGTCATGTTGCTGCAAACTCATTCAAAGGTTGTCTTCTTCGGGTGCTAAGTAGAATATCGCATATGTCCCTAGCAAGCATGAACAAGGGCATATGCCATTGCAACTACCAGTTTTTGTCAATTGCAGGTGGCAATAAGCCATGAAAACTAGATACTGAACAAAGAGGGCCCACAAACTACATATATATATATATATCAATTGAAAATTAGATTACCAGAATTAGTAATAATCAACAATGTGATCTTTTGTTTTTGGTTTGAAATTGAAACCCAAAGGGGAAATTTTATTAATCAGAAGAAGACAATGCACACATAGATGTAGAGATATTCAAGTCAGATTTTGATTTCTTCTCCTCTCAGACTCTCAGTGAGATTTTCTCTAGAGTTAAGAATTTGGTTACCTAATAAAACAAAATTAAAAAAGAGGCAACAAATGTTTGTAATTTTCATTTTGATGAGTTATATATATAGTATAGTCTTTTTAAATTTATTTTTAAAAAATAGTATAGCCGAGCGGCTGTACTCGGTTTCATTAATGTTTCTAAAAAAAAGTATAGCCGCCCGGCTAGACTTATTTTGACACGTGGGGCGGGTCCTCTTTTGTTTTTTTAAGCTATACTAGATTTAGCCGGTCGGCTATACTCATTTTTCCTAATGTTTTTAAAAATAGTATAGCCGCCCGGCTTTACGGTTTTGACACGTGGCGCATAGGCAATGGACGGGGCCTTTTTTTTTTAATATATAAATAGTATAGCCCCGTGAACTTTCGTCGGGAGAGGGGTTTTTTTTTTTTTTTTTTCTTTCTTATATTCCATAGCATGAAAAAGCGTTTTTTTTTTCCTTTCTAAAATTAGTAAGTTTGGAGGGTAAAACTTAAATGGTAACACAGTGTCTGTTTTTACAGGTGAGCCAAATCTTGGAGAATGCTAAAATCCTATGATTCTCATCATTCCGTTTGATTAAACGTTGTCAGAGAAAGCGATACAGAGACAAAGACAAAGATGGGTCACAGAGAAAGCGTCAGGTTTGATCTGTGTTCAAAAGGGTATATAATAATTTTGATGCTTATGCACTTGATTATTTTAGCTGCTGCTTCGATCCATGAATACCAAGACGATTCTTTTATTCGTCGTTCCAATTCCTTCTTCTTCCATGGAGGAAGTGAAGGTCTCTATGCTTCCAAACTTGACTCTGATAATGGCAAGTCTGCTTCTGAAGATAAGCCCCTCATTGGCAAGTCTTTCATCAGGTAAATCAAAGCTGCCATTTCCCTGTTTTTAGTTTTTGTTTATGAGCCAATGAGCGATGGATGTTCTTGATCTGTTTGTTTTGGGGGAATGAATGATGGGTTCTCTTTATTCTGTTATTGGTAATTGTTTTGATTAGGCAAAAGTGAATTATTTTGAGTTCTTATCTCTTCAAAGCTTGGGTTTATGGATTGAATGTGCAATGCCTCTCATTCAGTGCTTGATTGATTTCTTTCAATGAGGGCTGGCTCTTACCTGCCAGTGCTAGATACCATTAAATTGAAATCTAAGAGGAAAAAAGAATGAATTAAACCCTAATGGCTGTGTTTTGGGGTACCCCTTTTTGTTTTCCTTTTTCCTGTTGGGCTTTTACAAGAAGACAATGAGAGAATGTTACTGATGGCTGCTATATGGGAAATTCATTGATTAAACATGTTTTATCAAATGAGGTCTTTTGTAAGTTTCTGTGTATGAACCAAACAGTCGAAGGGTTTATTCTTCCTTGCCATATGTAAATTCAGGTTTGAATCGATCATCTTTCGAAGAACCAAGGAATCTGCTGAAAGGAAGAATGAGATGCAGCAGAGGACTGGGTTGGTCGAGGCTATTGTACTCGAAGTTAGGGACCGGGAGAAGATTGGAGGTTCTTATTTGAACTCTGAGGCAATATGCTGCACCGCAGAGCTATCCAAGGATGGTTCCTGCAAGGTTGGAGAGGTTATCATCCAACAAAACCCAGACAACCCTGATGGGCCAAAAAGGATGCAGACCTTCTTTGAGGGGAAAAATGAAGAGGCTAATATGGATATCCAAACTATTGAGATCAACAGCACTGGAATGTACTATCTGTATTTTATGTTCTGTGATCCAGAACTTGTGGGCACATTAATCAGTGGAAGAACGGTTTGGAGGAACCCTGATGGTTATTTACCTGGAAAAATGGCCCCACTGATGACCTTTTTTGGCCTAATGTCTTTAGCTTACCTTGTCCTGGGTCTTTTCTGGTTTCTCCGCTTTTTACAGTACTGGAAAGATATAATACAATTGCACTACCACATCAGTGCTGTAATTGGTCTTGGAATGTGTGAAATGGCCCTTTGGTATTTTGAATATGCAAATTTCAATTCCACTGGAACCAGACCAATGGGAATCACCATATGGGCAGTAACCTTCAGTGCTGTTAAAAAAACTGTCTCCCGGCTTCTTCTTCTGGTGGTTTCAATGGGCTATGGTGTTGTGCGGCCAACTCTCGGTGGTATAACCTCAAAAGTACTTCTTCTTGGCGTGACATATTTTGTAGCATCAGAAGCACTTGAGCTTGTTGAACATTTGGGGAATATCAACGACTTTTCTGGAAAAGCAAGGCTTTTTCTGGTGTTACCGGTTGCTCTCTTAGATGCCTGTTTTATTCTTTGGATCTTTTCCTCGTTATCTAAAACTTTGGAGAAGCTTCAGGTAACCTTATTTTTCATGTTCATCCTTTCCTACATTGACAAGGCTATGTGTCTCTCCAGTAGTTGACAATTGTTGAAGGGAAGGGAATAAGTTGTTGTGCTCATTACTCAAGTTTAAGAGTTATGCAGGTGATATTTAGACATCAGACACAGTATGTGAAACTCTTTGGGTAAAATATAAGTATTTAAAATTAAGAAAACCTTATCAGTACATGAATTTACGTTGTGGCTTGACCTTCATCCGCACAGACAGTCACAAACTAATAGGCATATTTCCTATCTTTGATGTGTGTGCATTCTAGAAACCTAGCCAACATTTTTTCAATGCAAAGGGCACAATTGAATCCATTCTCTCTTTTTCTGCGTTACTGCCTCTGAAGATCTTAGAAGGTATTCAGTGCTTAGGAACACGGTACCATCTATATATTTGAGATGTTTACTGTGGAAAAATTCGTTTTGTGCCTGTTACATACATGGAATGATTCATTAGCTTGCCTTTAGAATGCAACACTTCGTATTCAGCCTGAGGAAACTAAGTGCATATGTCTCTTTGTCTAATGCGTGCACAGATTCGAAGAAGCATGGCCAAACTTGAGCTGTACCGGAGGTTTACTAATTCCCTTGCAGTATCAGTGCTGGTCTCTGTTGCTTGGATTGGTTATGAGGTCAGTTTTGTTTTGTTTTCTGTTCTCGTGGTCTTATATTTCTTCCGACTGTCATTTTATAGTGATCGATAACTCACAAATAGTTCCTGCCCGACTGTCATTCATCAAATAATGCTGTTTTCGCTTCGTTTTCTTTTGTGTACGATGGTATGATTTGTGCAATTAAGAATTGAACTTCTGATCTTTGTCTGTTCAGTTGTATTTCAATGCGACCGACCCGTTGAGTGAACTGTGGCGAAGAGCCTGGGTCATCCCAGCTTTCTGGACTCTGCTTGCGTATTTGCTGTTGGTGGTGATATGTGTTCTTTGGGCTCCATCTCATAATCCAACTGGGTATCCTCTAAATCCTTACCTCCTTTTAATTGCATGCTACAAATTTCTGAGTTTGCTTCAGTTGGCTTTTGCTTTTATGGCCACTTGCATAACTTCAAAACATTATGCGAATTGAATGAATTGAAACACACATTAAAATGCTTTCCAAGAGAGAAGAAATGAACTTTTAAATGAAATGAACTTTATGTGACATTCTGCAGACGAGCACAGGAGCGGCCCAGCATACAGAATCTAATAAACCAAACCTTGATGAGTATATAATACACTGATGATTAAGTGAAGTTAGTTTCTATTGGTGTTGCATGTCTGAACTGTGTTTTCGTATG